GGGGGGGGGTCGCGGCTCATAGTCCCCCAAAATAAGGTAGCGTATTCCTTTTAGCGAAGCTAAATTGATGACGTAACCAAAAAAAACATAAGATCTACTGTCAGGTAATTTTTGAGGGCATTTATTGTGCAGATTTCAAAAGTCAAAACTCGGGACAATTGTGAAAAAAAAACTACACCAGCCGTATTATACATTTTTGTATATACGGTGATCCCTCGCTATATCACGCTTCAAGGTTTTGTACATGCCTGTACTGTATATACAACGAGGCGTCTGATTGGTTCCCGGCGTGACGTCGACCAATTGCATTTATCCCGTGAGCTGATTGTGGCCGGGCATCTTCACAAGCCCCGCCCAGCACCTTCCCTTGTGCCTCGTCACTCTTTTGACTCTCTGGCATACCGTCTCTTCTGTTGTGTTTGTTACGTGCGCGCAAGGGAGAGGGGCTGATGGGTTCCCAGCCCCCCCATTAACTCATTCAGTCCCAGCCAATTCTAGACCAAGTCTGAAAAGACGTTTCAAACCGTCTTTGGGAGTGAATGAGTTCACCGCGCTCAGTGAGGAATCGCTGTCACTGCTCTGTAAAGCGCTTTGTTGCAGCTGTTGTGAAAAAGCGCAAGTCACTTAAGATTGACCGCATAGTACTTCATTCATCGCCGTTCCGCCGGAAATCGGAAATTCCGTTCTCGTGGGGAAACGTTTTTTCTTTTCAGACCAACGTATCGCCCGGCTCACCCAGTGTCGCGTTGGGCTTTCCTTAAATGTCTCTCCCGCAGCCCTCCCGCCGTTGGACGAGTTTGCCATGGAGCGCGCCTTGGAGGAGTTTGAGCGTCGCTGCCACGACAACATGACGCACGCCACCGAGACGCAGGAGGGCCTGGGCATCGAGTACGACGAGGACGTGGTGTGCGACGTGTGCCAGTCGCCCGACGGCGAGGACAACAACGAGATGGTGTTCTGCGACAAGTGCAACATCTGCGTCCACCAGGTCGGGATTTGCGGCGAGAGGCGGAATCCTCCTCCTCCCCCTCCTGCGGTCTTATTTCGTACTCCCTCCTTTGGTACTCGAGTGTCCATATAAGTTGAGTTGCGTTTTGTTCCCCGCCGGCGATGTCTTCAGGCGTGTTACGGCATCCAGAAGGTGCCCAAGGGCAGTTGGCTCTGTCGGATCTGCGCCTTGGGGATCCTGCCAAAGTGCCAGCTGTGCCCGAAGAAGGGCGGCGCCATGAAGCCCACCCGCAGCGGAACCAAGTGGGTCCACGTCAGCTGTGCCTTGTGGATCCCAGAGGTGAGCCCTCGGCCGGCCGCAGCCCGCTCGGCGGGGGGGAATCTTTCCCGATTGCCTTTTTTTTTCTTTGAGCGCTCGCTGTGGTTTTCTCGCAGGTGAGCATCGGGAACCCGGAGAAGATGGAGCCCATCACCAACGTGTCGCACATTCCCAGCAACCGGTGGGCGCTCAACTGCTGCCTGTGTAAAGAGAAAACGGGAGCCTGCATTCAGGTGGGTCGGCGCAAGATGGACAAGAGCGCGCCAATTCAATTCAGTCCGCAAAAGATTTCCGCGGCGATCCCCACGCTTGTTTTTCTCCCGCCCGCAGTGCTCTGCCAAAAACTGCCGCGTTGCCTTCCACGTGACGTGCGGCCTCCACGCCGGTCTGGAGATGACCACCCTCCTCACCCAGGACGACGAGGTCAAGTTCAAGTCCTACTGTCCCAAGCATTCGGGCCTGGAGGGCGGCGACCTCAGGGAGCGAGACTCTGACGGCGAAGGGGAGAAGGAGGAGGGCGCCGGAAGCAAGAAGGGCAAACGGCGCGGGAGGATCCGGGGGGACGAGGAGGAAGAGGACCCAGCCGCGGCCCCACCCGCCGCCTCCACCTCCACCTCCTCCTCGTCGCCGTCGTCTTTATGCCTCGTCCGCCAACGCGACCCGCAGGATAATCGCGTCAACCTCCGAAAGATGAAGCTGCAAGAGATGGAGGAGGTCTTCTACCAATTTGTGGACGCCGAGGAGGTGGGCCGCCACCTCAAGATGGCGCCGGAGACGGTCGACTTCCTCTACCAGTACTGGAAGCTGAAGCGCAAAGCCAACTTCAACCAGCCGCTGCTCACGCCCAAGAAGGACGAGGAGGACAGCCTGGCCCGACGCGAGCACGAGGTGCTGCTGAGACGCCTGCAGCTCTTCACCCATCTCCGCCAAGATTTGGAGAGGGTAGGTGACCCAGTGAGGATGAAAGATCAATGGAGAGGCTCGTCCGCCATCGGAGAGGATTGGGACCTTATGGACAGAGGTGGCGGTCAGCCTTCGAGAGGTTGAAAGACAGTTAGCGGGGGGGGGGGTGTTGTCTGGGGAGCACAAGAGAGGATGAGTGACCAGGAGGTCTCCTTCAGAGGGTTTGCGACTACTAGTTAGGGTCAAAAGTGATTGTGGGTTTCTGCTGGGCTCAATAAAGGTTGGGAAACACGCTTGTGGGGAAGCTACAGGGGAATGCGGGGAAAGTGGGGTCCCCTCGAGACTCGAGAGTCTAAAACAGGGGTGTCCAAAGTCGGTCCTCAAGGGCCTCGGTCCTCAAGGGCCTCGGTCCTCAAGGGCCTTGGTCCTCAAGGGCCACTGTCCTGCCTGTTTTCCAGCTCTCCAAGGAGCAACGCACCTGATTCAATTTATCAGGATCGTTCTAATGCCGCTTCAGAGCTGGATGAGGAGCTGCTCATCTGAATCAGGTGTGTTGCAGCCGGGAGAGATGGAAAACAGGGCAGGACGGCGACCCTCCAGCTGGACATGCCTGGTCGAAAGGGTTTAAGAACCGTGTGACAAACGGGGAGGATGAGGTTCCTTTGCAGAAGCTTGGTCTTTGGCGGTGACAGATGGTTGCTTGGCCAGGGTAAGAGACCACTGGAGAGAGTGAAGGACAGGAATCTGGAGAAGGCGGGTCAAGGGTCCCTCGGAGAGGGTTGGGAAACCGGTATGGCTTGGAGGGCAATTGACCCATCATTCTCCTGAGAGGGTTGGAAAGACCATTGCTTGGTGGCCTTTGGGCACACGAAGAGCCTAAAGCAGAGTGTAGGGTTCCTCTAGACAGAGTGGGGTCCGCTGAAGAGTCGTCGATTCTTGGAAAGGATGACAGGCTATCGGTATGATTCCTCGGGGGAGGGTAAAGGACTAGACCCAGAGGGTAGGCGACCTCCGGAGTGGGTAGGACTGTTTCTTCTGAGTCGGTGAGTCCCGGGAATGAGTGCAAGACCATGAGTTGGGGTCCTCCAGAATGTGTCAATCACCACTGGAGAGGGTAAGTGACTTCTGGGGTGGTTGGAGCCCCCCCGAAGAGTGTTATGCACTAAGGGAGAAGAAAAGGCTAAAAGTCCTCAGGGGAGTGAAACCGGACCACTAGAAATACATCGCTCCTTTGGAGAGATGACTGATTGACTATTGGCCATCCTTAGGGGGTTGATGACCCCGAGACCACGGAAGGATCTCGGGGTCTCGGGGTTCGTCGTCCATCGAGGAAGTTTCCCTTACGAGCAGGAACTCAACTGTATTTCTCGAGCACTTTCAAACAGCCATCGCTGCATACAAAGTGCTGTGCAAGGAACCCGAATGTCTGGTCCTCCTCGGTTTTGGCAAGACTACAGAGCAACAAGTACACCGCAGCATTTAACTTTGACCTCCCGCTGCCTCCCTCAGGTCCGTAACCTGACCTACATGGTGACCCGGCGGGAAAAGATGAAGCGTTCCCTGTGGCGAGTGCAGGAGCAGATCTTCCAGCACCAAATCCGGCTCATAGACCAAGAGCTGCTCACTGGTGAGTCACCGCGTGTGCGCGCGTTACGATCTTTTAGACAGATGAGCCGTGACATTTGTCAGGAGCAACAAATATTGGAGTCGGCCTGAACTGAACGACTTGTAAATCATTCCATCAACGGCAAGTTCAAGGCTTGGTCCACCGTTTTGTCCCCAGGGAATCCGTCCAAGACGAACCTACAGCGCCTTTTTTCTGAGGACCACCTGAACTCTCTCGGGTGCCACGCCGGGACCCCGTGGAGCCACTCGGCGCACAAAACCAAACGGCGGTCCAAGCAAGACAAGGGGAAGTCACGTGAAAGGAAAGGACTCTCCGACTCGCTGCTGGTTTCCAAGAAGGACATCAAAACCCTCGACGCCAAATCCTTGCAGGTCAAAGAGTCCGGCTCGGACCCCCAGACCTCGAACCACCTGAATGACGGCCTCACGCTTCGGCACGTGAAGTCCCCAAAGCAGGAGGTGACCTCTCAGGAAGGTATTGGCGTGAAACCGCATCGGAAAACCGTGCGGAGGGAGGCCCCGGGCCCCGAACGGCGGAAAGAAAAACAACCCGAGCACGAGGAGCGGAAGAGGAAGCGGTGGACCGACGTTTCGGAGACCTCCGCCGGATCCCAGAAAGTCCGCTTCCATCCCAAACATCTGGATAAAACCGTCTCCATCCGGCTGGTGGACATCCGATCGTCGGACGCCGAAGAAATTCGAAGCGGCTCGGGAAACCCGGACGTTGTCAACCACGGTCAAGTCAAAGAGTCCCCGTCGGATGTTCCCCGCGTGTCTAACGGGTCCCTGAAAGGCTGGGGCAAGTTCCGGATCCCCAAGCGGAGCGAGAAGACGGAGCCGGAACAGCGCAAACAATTGCTGCGGCCGCTCACCAACACGCCGACGCCGGGGCCCCAGCACCCGAGGACCAGGCTGCGCACGGGGGCCGAGAACGAGGACGGCGGGCCCGAGGTGCTGGAGCCCTGCTTGAAACGCTGCCACTCGCACCAGCTCAGGGGCGACGCCTCCCTCAGCCGCCGCTACGGCTCCGACATCATCCGCCGTGGCGTCCTCGCATCCTGACCCGCGAGGGAAAAAGACAAATAGGCGCTACCTTTTTATTTTTCTGGACAAATCCGATAAAAATGTCTGAGTAGAGCTGATATTTATTTTTTACGTGTAATATAAACTGGGAAATATTGGACTTTATTTTGAGACACTTTTTGTTCTGCCGCTGACCCGCAAGGGACCACAAAGCTCTCGTGATTTATTTTTTTTGTTTTGTGCGTGCGTGCGCGTGTTGAAAGTTGCAGAAGGGGTGGAAATTTTCCAAAACATTCTTGCGATGTTAAGATCGGGAAATACTCCAAATTGGAACATTTCCATGGGAATTCAATTGAATTGAGCAACTTGCGCTCATGAACCCGTGGTGACATGATCGCCTGGTTTCAAATGAGCAATTCCCATGGAAAGTTTCCATGGTTGAAACTGGCCAACAAGTTTCCAACCCTTGTGAAAAGTGTTCCCAAGTGTTTTGCACGACGCAGGAAGCGGCAGCGACCTTTTTTACGATTGGCATTTAAGACGAGTTGGCAGTGACGCAGACGCTCGCCATTAGCACTTGAGTGTCGTTGAACTCGCGCCCGCACCACGTGCCTCACTTGAAGAGTTTGCACTACGACGGGCCGGCCAGAGTTATTTTTACACTGAAAGAAAACAAAAATCCTGGGCCGCTGCTGTACTACTGTTATGCAAAAAGTTCGATTGCTTTGATTGTCTTTAGTCTAAAAGAGGAATAAAAATCTCTGGAGGAGCGACTTTTGTGCCTTTGTTGGTTTTTGTTTGTCTTGGAGGGGCGACAAAAAGAATCTGTGCCTGCCTTTGTAAGACTCGAAATTCAAACACTGAATCCTTCCTAATTTTTTTTTTCTTGTTCGCTGTAGTTTCATTTGGAACCTGTACTAATGTGCAATTTGAGATTGAAATCTGTTCGTGTGTTAATATATATCTTTGTGTTTCTGTCCACTGCATCCTATCTTTTTCACCCCCAAAAGTATTTTTTAAAAAGGAAAAAAAATAGTCTGCCTTCAAACCTACGTCGGCCCGTGACCTTGCGTCACAGGAAGTTGTTAGCGATCAGCCGTCTCCAATTGTCGCGAGCGATCAGAGCTGTTGAAAGACACGTTTGGTTTGTTCTTGTTCGAAGTTTGATCTGCAACTCAGCGATGACATTGTCAAAGAATGACAGTCTGGAGCGCCAGGAGCGGAATTTTCAAACTGTTCGCGCGAGCGACGCAAATCATGTTGGTACGATGACCACGCTACAAAGGTGCGCCCCTGACTCCCTTTGTCCTGCAGGTCTCACACTAAGGTAGGCACTGATATCATTTTATTTTTTTACAAACAGAGTCTTGAATCGAGTTTACTTTTCTGTTTGGCTCACATTAGGGTCCGTTGTGTGTGTTGCTCATGAGTGCGGTAACGGCTCGATCTTGGGAGATGGCTGCTTGAAAATGACTTCGAACTCGCACTGAATTACTGAGTACAGTAATCCCTCGTTTATCGCGGTTAATGGGGACCAAAACCATCCACGTTAAACGAAAATCAGCGAAGTAGCGACCAATAAACATATACAGGTTAAAAAAAAACATTTTTTTTCAAGTCCGCAAACGAAGCAGGCCCCAACCGTATAATTACATTTTGCTTACCTTTTACAAAATATGTCCACTACTCTTGTAAAAATATTTTTTTAATCACAATATTGTATCGCATGCAATATTTTATTTTGTTTAATATTTTACATGAATAAGATCGTGATTAATTACCATATGTTATTAATTCTGTTTCCTGCAAAATAAGTGGCAGCACACACACGCGCACAAAAAGCTTCCACAAGAATAGTAGGAGGAAAAACGATGGTATATTTACAATAGAAGGCATCACTATGGGCACTTATACAGTATGTACATATTAGTCTGTGGTTTCAGAGGGACAGTAGTTACAAGCCAGTTAAACAGTGCTCACCTCACAACAATACACTACATTCGACACACACACACACACACAAAACGTTCGCGCAAACGATGGTCAGAAAACGCTCCCCCAAAAAATACATTTCCGCACTTGGCCAGGATGCGTTCAGGCACCGTAGGAAATTAGGCACACAGTTCCGAGGTCACAATCAGGAGAGGTCAAACAAGACTTTTCCTCTGGGGTGGGGGGCAGACATGTAATAAAGTAAAAAGGTTAATTTGATGGTGGACTTCATAACATCAGCGCGGGAGGGGGACGGGGTGGAGGGGGACGGGGGTCCTCTATTAAAGCCAACTGAAGTCTGGGTACATTTGAGTACTGACTTCCTCCGAACAAACTTAAAACTGCATTTGGATTATCCAACCTGCATTTTCGACTGATCCACTCTTATGAGACTAGATCTCTCTCTCCCCCACAAAAAAGAGAAAAAAAAAAAGGTTTTTGATTTCATTGGGACAAAGTTGGTGAAATAAATAAGAGAGAGAAAAAAAAAACAAGAACTAGACAAAAGCCACCTTTTTATATCCCGCTGTGCATTGGAGCAGCGATTCCTTCGAACGAACAGAAGCCACTTTTTCAGCGCGCGCCTTCAAGCACAGGCTAAAGAACAGTGGACAAAAGCCGCCTTTTCGTGATTCGGGGTGTATTCAAGCACCGATTTTTCTCGTCTTTCATGGACTTAAAGTGCAAGCAAGCACCGAGTCCTTGAAAAGACTTTTGCTGCCGTTTTAGGATTCAGGAATTCCTCTTCTTTTTTTTTTTAAATTACAGACAAGAAACTAGAAGTTATGATCCAAATGAAGAGTACAAAATGTGCTTGGAACCCTTCAACGTCTCAGTAGTGTTTGTCACAGGGCACACGCGCCCCTCTCCCAACGTGATCTATCATTGCTATGATCTCCTGTTGGATATTATCACCCCAAAAAAAAAAAAAAAAACAAAGTGAGGGACACTACTGGACTAAGTACAGTACAAGGTAGTCATTCCTGGGATGTACAAATATATATTTACTATTTATACGCTATATATTAGAATAAAAAATACATTTGGCAACACGTCAGACAAGCCCTGCTAATTTATTTTTACCGCTACTTTTTGGTTTTAATGGAAACTAAAAGTGAAGGGGACTCGAGTATGAGCCTTGACTAACCCTAAAGAGGTTTACAATTAAAAAAAACAAACAAACAAACAAAAAAGGCAGTTTGGTGGAAATTTTCCAGGACAGGAAGTGGATAGGTCAGTGCAGGAGGACAAAAGGGGGAAAAAAAAACAGAAAAAGTGTCATCGACGAGCTCGTTCCCTGATGGCCGAGATTTAACGCGTTTGTTTTCTTTCTACTTTTTAAGCTTCGGCCGCTTTCCTCTTGGCGTTCTTGACTTGGGCCTTCCCGGGGCACTTGGGACGGGCGGCGGCAGCGGCGGCAAGGACGGCGGAGAGGGCGGCATCCTGGTGCTCGTCGTGCTCCAGGCAGCACAGTTGGCCGGTGGGCGGCCAGGCACGCAGCGCCCCCTCCTGGTGTGTGTTCCACCAAAATAAGACATTTGGAATCATCTGATTTTACTTGGGACAACAATGATCGAAACAATCATTTTTTTTAAAAAAATTCCCTCTCGTGTGGTATTCCTGAATTGCTGTTTAGTTGGCACTTGGGACGGGCGGCGGCAGCGGCGGCAAGGACGGCGGAGAGGGCGGCATCCTGGTGCTCGTCGTGCTCCAGGCAGCACAGTTGGCCGGTGGGCGGCCAGGCACGCAGCGCCCCCTCCTGGTGGGCCTTGCAGAAAGAGTTGGGGCACAGCTGGCAGAAGGCGTCGGAGTTCTTGCCGCAGACGTCGCAGTGGTGCCACGGGCAGTCCCAGCGACCTGACGGCAAATGGTACGTTACTCTTCACGTACTTCTCCACACTGCGCTCTGTAGCGCCCCCTAGAAAGTCCACCTTTAGCGCCCGTTTTCTTCACTGGCCCCAGTTTTACTCATCAACACAAAAGTTGGTGGACTTGTTGAACAGAACAAGATGCACTGTTGCTTGAAATTAAACAGCAAGTTGATTGTTTTGGTTTCAATTTCAGACCCTTTAAACCATTGATGTCCAACCTATGGCCCAGGCCCATTAGCGGCCCACCATCCATTTTTCGGCGGCCTGCGACATTAAAATAAACAAATCAATAAATAAACCCATCTATACTGACCAAAAGGCCTCTTGGAGAGGTTGAGGCACGACAGGTGGAAAGCTTTGGTGCACGTCTTCTTTCCGCAGATGACCAGCTGTCCTCCGTCGCCGCAGCGGAAACACTCGTCGTCCGACTTCTTGCCCTCCGTCCGCCGCTTCCTGTACTTGCGTTTCAGCCTCTTGCCTTTGGGATCGGCCGCCTGACCGTTGGAGTTCTGCCGAATACCACGGTGACACCTTGATTTAGGACTAATCTGTTGCACGGTGGCGTTCAAAAATTTCAAATCACTCCTATCTCAAATTATATGTCTCCATTGGAATGAATGGGAATGCATTTAATCCGTTACACAAAAAAAAAAAAATAGCGGCGTCTTCACCTAAAGCGGAATGTTAAGAAGAGAAAAGTTTGTGTGTGACATTTGTGCTCGTGGCAGCTTAAACTTTGGTTTTCACCTTGGGACGATCTCCCAGGAAGCCGCTGCAGTTGGGGGCGCCGCAGCGACACACCGTCTTTTCGTTGCCCAAACAGTCCAAGTTGTAGTTGAACGTCAGCTCGGTGCCTACCAGCCAAAATGGACAGCGGTGTCAAATGTTTCAAAGGATAGAAGCATACTTTTTTTTTTAAATGGTTTGTGTACAGTGCTAAGCTAGCAAGAATCGCTGGCTTTGTACATGACATGTGTATAAAAGCGTCGTTGTTGTGATAGTGACAATGGCCTACGAGCATTTAAAGAAAAAAAAAAAAAAAAAGACCCGCTGTGATGTCGCAGACAGCGAACAGTCCGACGCGCGTGTCTCCGTTGACGGTCCACTTCTGCGTCTCGCAGTTGGGCTGACAGCTGTGGTTCATGAAGCGAGAGAAGTTCCCCTTGGGACCGGCGTCGATGATTCGGTCCTTGAGAGGCAAATTCGACAGCAAAGACGTGATGGTTCTTGGCATCCGCTTTGAACGATTTCAACAATCAGGCCGTGGCGCGTTTGTGGTATTGACAACTGTGACGTTGCAGTCCGCTGTCATGCAACGTTCCCAACGCAATACCGTGTCATTCATGTCGCTCCCGGTGGAAAAAGAGCCGCTGAAAGCAACGGCACCCGTGCACACCAGAGAGCAGCGCGTTTATACGCGTACACTCATGGACCGTCATTTCAAAAAAAAAAAAAAAAATCTCATTTTCGACATTTAACGGTATCGCTTCAGAATTCAGATATCGCTTCATTCTTAAGCGATATCTCAAGACAACAGTTCCGAACTTGGGTCTTAAACTGGACAGTGATTTTAAAATTGGACCAGCAAATCTGTGCCATTGTCAAATTCCGTTTTTTTTGGCCTTCGGCAGCTTGGCTAAATTCAAGCCTCTCCTTTCTCAAGAGCACTTTGAAACAGTCAGTCACAAGTTCGTCATGGACTTGACTTTGGAGTCAGCCGAGCCTCCATGGAGTGTCTCCAGTTGGTCCGCAATGCTGCCGCTCGCCTCCTAACCGGAGCTGGTAGGAGGGAGCACATCATTCCTACTCCGGCGTCCCTTCACTGGCTCTCGAAACATTTTACAGTTCTTTTGAAGATCCTACGTACGATTTGTTTTCAAATCTTGAAATGGCCTGGCCCCACCTCACCTCTCGGAGCTTCTCTGCCCCTGCCCGGCGCCTCAGGCCTGGGAAGTGACATATTCATAGTGACACAGACATACCTTGTCAATCGTTAGCATGTAGAAGTCGGTGATGTTGTTCTCGTGAGCGTGTTTGATCCTGGCCCGGCATTCGTCCTCGTCTATCAGCTCGCCGACGTACTCGTTCACAAACTCTCCCTGGCGGATGAACAGATAAGATTTCAAAAGCTGCCGAAACGTGCGCTTTTGCCCGACGACGTGGAAGCGCAGGTGCAATATATTTTGTGTTGCTTTGGGCGAGGGCGCTTCTTGACCTTCTTGATGTCGCGCAGGGCGACGAGTCCCCAGCCCTTGCCGGGCGTCTTGATGATCTTGGTGTCCGGGTAGAGGCGCTTGGTGAAGTCCTGGTTGCAGCAGCGCTCGCCGCTGGGACACACCTGCGGGTGGCACTCGTACTGCAGCATGCGGTTCAGGCACTCCGACTCAAAGCCGCACGGACGCTCCACCGACGGCTTGCAGTTGCACTTGGGGATCTCCGACACGTCGGCCGCGTACACCTGCACCTTGCCCACCGCTTTGTTGACCTGAAAGGTACGGTCACGGTAATTATTTTAGTAGCCCCCCGAGCCCCCAAAAACATTACAGTTGATTTTTTTTTTTTTTTTACCCTTCACGTTCAGAAAATGGTAGAGACTGTTTTCCACTCTTCTGGATTTGCTTTGACTGATGTCAAGCAAGCTTTGAATTTTTTCTGCAGCATTCTGTCACAGAAATCCTTGTTCCGCGCTTCCCAAACGACAATTCAAACCAATTCGTGGCAAGTTGAATGTTTAGCAGCTTTTTTTAAAGGTTTAACCAATTATTTTGTGGTCGTACGTCGCGGCCCGCTGTGTCAAAGTTGTCCGGTGCCAAGTTTTTATAGCCCACCTTGATAAATTTGTACGGGGGCGGTTTCCGATTTTTCTCCTGCGCTTCCTTGGCCTCCCGCTTCATCTTCATCTCCTTGAATCGAGATTCAGCCTCTAGCAACGCTGAAGACAGGGAAATGCTTCAAATTTTCTGCTGCCGTTCAGATTGACCTTTGCCATTTGAATCTTTACCCGTCTTAAAGACTTTCCCGATGCCGTTTTTCTGGTATTTGCTTCCCCGGTCGCCCTCCATGTAGGGGAAGACGCGGCCCTGGTGGGTCCAGAAGTAGTCCTTGGAGCCGAAGAAGAAGACCGGGAACTCGCCGATCTGGTGGCGAAGGTGCTGGATGTTGGTGGGAATGTTGCGGGGGTGCTGGATCTCTGCGGGCCACCATCTGAAAACAGCGCGGCCGTTATGGAGCGATGAGGAAGGTTTCGGTGGGAAGACGTCGAGGCGTCCACGGTGCGGCCCCCACCGGTAAGTTCCCAGTTTGACCCAGATGATGTCCCGGTATTTGGGCTTCTTGCCCGCGCGGCAGTCGTTGCAGAACCAGCTGCCGTCGGGCATGGCGATGTTCAGGCAGTCGGGGTGGAAGGCGGCGGGACAAGACTCGCAGCACAGCAGCTGACCTCCTGCGAGGTGCACACATTTCACCTTTTTCTTTTTTTTTTTTTAAAAATACCGGATTTTCCACACTATGAGGCGCACCGAAAAGTCTTCCATTTTCTTCAAAGCACACAGCGCGCCTTAAAATCTGGTGCGCCTTATGTATGGTCATTACGGTAATATGTCGACCCCAAGATGGCGCCTTGCTGGAGACATGCTTACGTTCTAACTTGCTGTTGGTTCAGTGAACTGTGTCGCTGCTTTACTAAACTCAAATACCGCTACGTCTTTGTCCGTGTCTCTGTGCATTCTCTTCCGTTCGCCTCGAGAGATCATTTATTGGACGCAGTGGATTATAAGGCGCAATCTACAATGCAGCCATTAGATGGAGCTACGCTACTTCCGTTCGACTCAAGAGGCGTTCATGACCGCCTCAGAAAAACGTAAATTAACGATTCCTTCAATGAAATCACGAAAATTGAAAGTAATGCATCAAAAATTAAAATCAAGCAAGGAAATCACAAAATGAATTCTATAGCCCCCCCCTTACAGAATTTATTTTGTGATTTCCTCGTTTGTGAATACAGTACACAACTAAGGAATAAATAACAAAACACTTTTGAGACAGTCCGGTCTTCTCCATTTTCCTGACATCTGATCGTTCTGTTGGCGCTACGCTCAAGGAAATGCAAAAATAAATTCTGTAGGGGGGCGATATAATTTATTTTGTGATTTCCTCGCTTGATTTTCTGTTTTGATGCCTTATTTTCAATGTTCGTAGTTTCATTGAAGGAATCGTTAATTTACGTTTTTTCGGAGGAGTCATGAACGCCTCTCAAGTCAAATGATGGGCTGTTGCGCCATCTAGTGGATGCACTGTAGATCGCGTCTTATAATCCGGTGCGTCCAATATATGAACTAAATGACAAAATAGGCCATTCATTGAAGGTGCGCCTCATAATCCAGTGCGCCTTTTAGCGCGGAAAATACGGTAATGGCAAAAATGAAAAATGTTTTTTTTTCTGTTGGTGGAGTTAAAAGGCGCAATGCCTCCGCGCGGGCTCAACAGCGGCGCCTTATGTTTCGTGTCGGCCACCTTTGGAGCAGACGAAGCACCAGCTGACATTGACGTGACTGTGGTGGCTGTATCCCTTCTTGGCGTTGAAATGGTTGGTGCAGACGATGGCGGTGTTGGTGATCATCTCGCTGCCCGCCGCCACGCACTGGTCGCCCACGTGGTAGGCCACCGGGCAGCGCAGGCAGCGCATCAACCGCCCTGCGAATACGCCGGCCCAAAAAGTTGAGCCGAGTCACGCGACCCGAGTCCGCGTCGGGTATCGCGCGTCGGCGGCGCGGCGAACCTTTGGTGGACTTGTGCTGCGTGCGGCAGCCGTAGTGGCAGCTGAGGCAGGTGTGCAGCGGGCAGCGCAAACCTTTGTTGTCAAACACGGTGAGCGGGCTGAGGCGGGCGCACACCTCGTGGTAGAATTTGCCACAGTGTGCCACGTGGCAGCGGCGCACGTCGCCGTCCGACTGCTTGCACGTGAAGCACGGGTGAACCCCTGGGCCAAGAAATAAGAAGTCGGCGTGAGGAGGAGACGGCGGTTTCGCAAAAGCCGCGGCGCATCGCGCGCGCGCGCTCACCCGTGCTGCACGGCCGACACAGCAGCTTGTCGTCCGGCTCGAAGCTTCCGCCCAGACAGTGGAGATGGAACATGCCGCCGCACTGCCCTTCGCAGGGGACCAGGTCCTCGCCCGCCTGCTCGCACGCCTGCGCCGCGGCACCGAGGCAAATGTGACTTCTACTTGCGCCGTCATTAAAAAAGAAAAAAAAAAAAAAATCCACTGAGCCAAAGGCGCTTGAGACCAACCTGGCAGGCGAACTCTTTCTTGCGCTCTCCTTTTTTCATCCCGTCCAGGCTGTCGCCCGGCGAATCGGGGCACCCTTCGCTTCCGGACCCCTGCACGCAACCGTCGCTCCGCTTAAGTGAGGCCGGTTTGAGGCTCGTTTGAACCCTGGCGGACTTGGGGGGGGGGCGGCACGCGCACTCACCTCAGGTTCAGGACAAAGGAAGGAGCGTCTTTTTTTGGTCTTGACGGGCTCTCCGAGGTTCTCTCCGTCCTGCTTCCGCTTCCTTTTGCGCTTTGGTTCCTCCGCCTCTTGCTCATCTGCAGGGTGGGAACATTTTCACAAAGTGGTCGCGCGGCTCGGTTGGCTTCAAGCCGATGGCACCCCCCGGTGGCCCATTTCGAGGGATCGAAAGGGAAACGGAGCGATCGTGTCAAGTTTGATCGATATCTCGCGTTGCCGTTTTGGTGTCAGGTCTTGAATTTGAACGTCAAGTGCCATGTTAGGAACGGAGGCGACCCCCCCCCCTCCCCCACCAGTTGATATTGAGCGATATGCCACATCGCTTGCCTCGGGATGGGCCAATCTCATCCATGCCCGCTCGTCAGCAGTCTCGACAAATCGGTTCGTTCGGCGAGCTCGTAGAAGCTTGCTTTTATCCAACTCGTGGAACCAAATCGTGTTTGGATGCGGTTCTCCCTTGCTCAATGAGATCTCGATTTCTGACCGCCACTTGAATGTTGCGAGGTATACCTGCAAGTAGCGCGTGATGCTTTTTTAGTCCTCGCTTGGTTTCTTTCCCTTCTTTGTCCGCTTTCCAGCTCCTCGTGCCGGGCTTCCGGCGGGCTTCCGCCACCATCCAGGCCTGGTCCTGTCGATGAAGAATGCTCATGGTATGCGTTTCCCTGCCTCGCACGCAGGAGACTCTGAGGAAAGCTCACATTTTTTCGTCTCTTTTTGGGCTGCCGTTCCACTGCCGCGTCTAACTCGGTGGTCCTTTTGGCGATTTGCTTCAGCCCTTTCTTACCTAAAAAGCAAGAAGTAGTGAAAAGAAGGGGGAGAAAAAAAAAAAAAAAGCAAGCGATTAAATTGTACTTTTTCCACTTCAGAAATCACCGAGCAGCCGTTTGGGCGCCTTTGAAAGGCAATGCGGCCGCGTAAAAAGCGTCCCGTTGCAACTGACCCGGAGGCGAACCTTCTCCCAACGTCCTCTTCTTGGCGGGACCCGTTAACGTTTTCCTCCTTCCGTCCGTCTTTAGAGGGGAGCCGCCTTGTTTGGGTCTCGGCTTCTTCTTGACGGGTACCGCCGGTTCCTATCGAGCGAAACGTCGACATTTATCAAATCCACGTGGATCGCAGAAGTGGAAGCCGGCTTTACAACTTAGCACTTCCTTGGGGAAAGGAAGGAAAAGTAGCTAAGCGGCCCGTCTTTGGCCGCGGCCACGCCCATCGAGAGCCGGGCCTCCGCCTCCGCGCTGGACTCCGGCTTGAGCTTGTCCAGGATGCAGGGGTTGAGGTGGGGCCCGTTATCGTCGTACATGAAGATGAAGTTGGCCAGGCGGTCATCCAGCGACATGGCCAGCGCCTCGGTGGCCTGGATGACGCCCATCTTCCACTGCGGTCGCATTTTACGGGGCACGGAAGGAAGCGTCTGGAGGGAACACGAGACGACCAAAAAAGAATGACGGAGGTGCGTGCACGTCAAACTGGATTTCGAAGCGACCCATCTTACAAGCCTTTAAGTTTTAAGTTGGCAAGCGAGCTTCAGATTCAGCACCGCTCGCATAAAGTGGAATAAATAAATAAATACACGAGCGCGGCAGGCGCAGATGGTTTTGGTGCAGATCCATCACATTTTGTGTTCCACCAAAATAAGACATTTGGAATCATCTGTTTTTACGTGGGACAACAATGACCGAAACAATCTTTTTTTTTTTTTAAATTCCCTCTCGTGTGGTATTACTGAATTGCTGTTTGGTTGTTTTTTTTTCTTTTTTAATCATTGAACAATACCAAATAAACAACAATGCGTGGTTAATTAAAAAAAAGATCCTAGGGGGAAAAATAGTTTTGTAATTTACTTTAATGACGAATAAATATCTCTGGAATAATCACTTCTAAAAAATATTCAACAGTGACAGCCGTACTTCTTGATTCAGTTTGAGGCGTGAAAGATGAATTTCAGACATTTTAACGCTTTAAGATCAGCGAGAACTCTGTCATTGGACAACGAGGCGAACACACGAAGGCAAACTGAAAAAAACAATTTCATAGGAACTTGGAGACGATGCTCAAGGCCTTTTCACACTGCACTTAAGTTTCTTTCTTGGTGTGATGTTTACAAGTACCTTTTTGTGAAGGACGTGTGAGGCCGGCTGCTTGTTGCGCAGGCTGAGCTCCTGGTACTGGCTTTCTCGAGCAAAGGACACCATGTTCTTCTCAAAAATGTAGCCCCTCTCAGGAGCATCTCCAAAATACTGCACGTGATAAAGGAAGCCCGACCTACTTTTAGCTATTCAAAAAAAAAAAAAAAACAACATACAGAGATTAGAGGGAATATTCCGAGTCTTTGTATTGGGCGCCGACTGAGGAGGGAAGTCACCGTTGGGTTTGGGTTTGACGTGGTGGTTCCGTTCGGGGTCGGTGGTGACGATACAGGGCCACCAGGGGTACCCCGACACCTTGGTCCAGACCACGTCGCCAACGGAGAAGCTGCTCGGCAAAGACGGCGCTTCCGTGGCAACTGGCGACGGCTCAGAGACGACTGCGGGCTAGAAGAAGAAAAGACCAAAAAAAAGAACGGAAGGGGGGGGGGGGGGGGGGGGATGCACATTTTTGAGAGTCAAGTCATCTTTTGTGGATATTTCAAGTAACTTCAGAGATACTTATTGCGACCACAGAATTCACGACAGGCGTAAAGAATGAAATCGAAGTCGCAAGGGCTGGGCGACATGGGCTCAATATTCTAAAGCGTTATTTTAACAAGTTTGAAGGTCAAGCTTTTTGCATCAAGCATTTTCAAGGCGATTGTCGCTTTTAGGTCACAACCATGCATGGAAAAAAGCTAAACTGCACCTTGTCAACAGTCCAAAAAAAAAAGAAAAAAAGAAATTGTCCCCCTGCCTGTCAGCGACTGGACAACTTTTTGGCAACGTTAAGACCTGTAAACAGCGGATGTAAGGATTACGTGTCATTTTTTAAAGCTCATTGAAGAGCAAGGATCCCCAGACAGCCTGAAATAAACACAGTGCCAAATGATCGCACAAAACTTGAGGAGGTTTTGAGCTAATATCATTTTTTTAAAAAACTTAATCCATTGCCAAATTTCTTGGATTAAAAAAAAAAAAAAAAAAGACGCAGATAAATCTTCCCCCATCCCCACTATTGATGCGACCTATGCGCCGTACAACTCAAATGCGGCGGGGATGTCAAAATAAACAACTGAGAGCACGTGGTTACACACGTGTACACACAATCTTATAACTGGGGAAGTGGCTGTGTTCAGAAATGACCAGTCACATTCAAACTCGTGTTAAATGAGAGTCCGCACACATTTGCCACCATTGAAGCGCCCAACTTGCCGGAGAGAAAAACATTCAATCCAGGTTTCATCGGACCAGAGCACGATTTCCCACACGTGTTTTTGCTAGCCTAGCCCATTGCCCAGAGATGTGAAGAAGACCGGAGACAGCCCAGCCAGTACTTGCCAGAAGTTCCTGCCGCTCCTTCAGTGTTTCCGTCGGCCTCTCGGCAGCCTCCCTGACCAGTTTTCTTGTCATCTTTTCATTGATTTTGGAGGGGCGTCCAGTTCTCGGCAGTGTCACCGTTGTGCCATACTTTCTCCACTTGACGACGACTGTCTTCACTGTGTTCCACGGCATATTTAAGGCCTTGGAAATTCTTTTGTACCCTTCTCCTGACCGATACCTTTGAACAATGAGATCCTTCTGATGCTGCGGAAGCTCTCTGCGGACCGTGGCTTGCGACTACAAAAATGTCAGGAAAAGCCTATTAGAACATCCGAACTTTGTTTGGGATTATTTGGACGCAATCTAAATGGTGGCAGGTCTGTCCTGAGTCCCGTTTAACGTGAATTTGGCTAGCTGGGGGTTCACCTGATTTCTTTACGTTCCTAACAAACAAGGTGGAAGGAGCTGATGAAAAGTAAAAACTAACCTCATCCGCCGCCTCCAAAGCAGGACCGAGAGCATCTTCGGGTAGGGCGGAAGAGCCGAGGGCGGGTCGAGCTTTTGGTTTCTGGGATCTACCCCGCCGCTTCTTCACTTCCTGTCTTTCCTCAGGCACCGACGCCGCCGCACCTTGGACAACGGCGACGACGGCGGACAAGCTGGTCCCGCCGGCCGAGCACGGCTCAAAGAGCGGCGCCTTGACCACCTGGGGTACGGTCACCTTTAGCTCCGGCTCGCCGTGCGCAGCGCACGTGTGCTGATGGGTTCCGTTGGAAGGGGGCGCTTCGGCACCCTTGAGGACCGGCGTCTCGGCGGCGCACAGCTTGGGGATGGCGTCCTGATCGCTGTTGAGCACCAGAGACGTGAGGTCCTTCAGCCTCTCGTGGCCGTGGCCGGACATCTTCTGGAGCACGCCGTCCTGCAACGTGGCGGCCAGTTGCGCGGCGGCCTGGTCCATGAGCAGGGAGGGGTCGCCGCGAGACTCCGGCGGCTGCTTCATGCTGACGGGGTTGGCCGGCTCGGGCATGGAAGGCAAGGAGCTCCCTTTGCTGTCCATTCCATCCAAGTCCTTTTAACACACGCTCTGACAAAACAGCACAGATGCGACAGAGTCACACACGTGCAAGTCTCAAATCTTCACTTTCACGTCTCAAGCAACACCCCCCCCCCCTACCCAAAGTCATTTTGTGCAGGGCACGTCAAGCCAAGTCATCGGTCAGATCACCTCAAGTCCCAGGTGCGAGTCCCAAGTTAAGTCTCAACCTTCAAGCTCCTTGCGAGTCCCAGATCATTTTGCCCGATGCTCGGCTTACGGCGAACGATTGCTACAGTCTCAGACTTCAAAACTCAAAAGTCAGAAGGAATTTTAGAGTTTTACTGGGGTCACAGCGCGCAAAAACAACATATTATTGTCAACTCATATTTTGACTTCTCCTTTCATGCTTTCTCACCCGCAGTATCTGATTTTCACTAGATTGAAGACCAAGAGGTAAAATGATGATATTGCAGTCAACGCTTGTTTATTGCAGCGGATATGTTCGACACACAACCGCAATAGGTGAAACGCCCTTACAGAGACAAAGTAAAATAACCGTTTTATTTTTTTTGTGGCTAGTTTTACCACTCCCGTGCGCTTCAACTCAACTGTATTTATAGAGCACTTTAAAAACAACCATTGCTGGCTAAAAATAGTCATACAAAGCAATCATACAGTGAAAGCAATCGATTGATACCAGCACACCATAAAACACTCAAGGAATGCCGACGTCAAAGCTGTTAAGTAATCACTGGCGTTAAATTATTTGTAGGTCGCCATCTCTGGAAAGCAGCACTCAAATTAGACACTTTTAAAACATCCTTTTCGCCCAAATGAATAGTTGGGGCCGGAATAGAACGCTTGGGGGGCTCAAGAGAAAACTGCACCTGTCACACCAAGTCCCAGTTGCATTGTTTTGGTTTCCTGCCTGCTGTTTTTAAAGCTAACTGACAGCAACGCACACTCTCACTCTCACCCACGCACGTTGTAGCGCAAAGGGGCGACACTTATAGCCGAACAGGTGGGCGCTATCCCCCCCCCCTTCCAAATCAAGAGTCCTCCTTGGAGAAAGGACAAGCTATCGGCTAGCTGCAGTCTGCGGTGATGGGGAGGCTCACGGAGGAGAGGGCAGGAACCGCGTGCAGCGATGCCCAATGAGCGCATCGCTGTCTGGAAAAGCCGCGGAAAGGCGAACAGCTGACACGTTCAAGAAAAACATGCGTGTAAACTAATGAATGGAGCAGCCCCGGCGCATTTGTTAGCGATGTTGGGAGTCTCTCATCGTGGATCGACGTATCCTGTCTGCCGAGCACCTTACGATTTTTTTTCAACTGCTTGCCACTGTCCTGACTTACTTTTGAATAACGAGCTTCGGTTATCCTCGTGTTCCATTTTAGCTGCTATTCCAATGGAGAGGGCCTGTAACTGGCAGGCGGTCCCGTATTGTTATTCCATTTCGTGCTACTCGCGACCGTCAGCCATTAAGCAGCAACTAGACAATGCCGCCGCACAAAGGCCAAAAACACCATCGCGAGAACAAACTCAACTCACAATCGAATTGCACTTGAGATGGTTCAACGACTGCGGTCGGCGAAATTAAGTGTTCGGCTCCGACTCGGTCAGAAAAGTCACTTTGTCGGCGCCATGACAGCTCGTTTGGGGAAAAAATGCTAACTAGCGAAGCCCATTGAAGACCATTGAAAAGTAGCAGCCAGAGTTAGCGTCGGCTAACTAGCCGCCTCTCGTTTAAAATGGATGCTGGGCCCCCGGCAAGTGTGCCCTTTCCCAGGAAAAAGTCCCCGAGTTGGCTCCGATGTACCCGGCCTTGGCGGTAAAAGGGATCGGCGGCGTTCGGGGGGGTTACCTACTGGCTGGACGTCCCGGCGGCGGCTTAAACGAGAACGCGGAGTTGCTCCATGGCGTCAAGGGACGAATTTCATTCAAGTGGAGTGAAAAAGGCTTTTGCGGGCAACTCAAACTGTGAGGCCAACCAGCGCGAAAAATGCTTACTCGTGATTGGTCGGTGGGGGCTACGCACACTGGTCCTTTCAAAAAAAAAAAAAAAAAAAAAAAACATAGGAAGCGGAACTCTATTTCATTCAACCTTTGCTATCTTTTTCAAAATTCTTACATTTTCCCCACTTTCCATAAAATAGTAAAAAACTTTATGGAAACCGTTTACATGTTACGACTACTGGTTATATTCAGGAGTGGTGTCAATTTGAGGGTGCAGGGCCAACCCAATCATGGATACGTATTTTCGCTGTTTTATTTCTCCTTTTTCCAACATTTTGACTTTTAAGGGAAAGGGTATTTCCAGCATTTCCCCCTATTATTAGTGAAAATGTTTGTTTTTGAATAATTTATTGGGTTTAGATTTTTTGTTCCCCGATGTATATCAGTGGGGGTGGACGATGGTCGACTGGTCCGCCTCACAGTGCAGAGGAGCAGGGTTTGATTCCGGCCTTCCTAGATGGAGTTTGCATGTTCTTCCCGTGCCTGTGTGGGTTTTCTCCGGGTACTCCAATTTCCTTTCACATTCCCCAAAAACATGCATGGCAGGTTAGTGAAAAGCCAAACCAAAATGATACTCTATTTGTGCATACGTATTAAAAATGTGTTAAAATTACAGTATCTTTTTTTAACTGTCGAGTGCTGACGCTCTCGCGTTTTGGCGGTGTAGGCAACATCTGACTCAAACATCATCGGCGGAAAAGACTGGACTTTCAACTTAAAATGCGATGTCACATAAAACACCTTTTTTTTCGAAAAGAAACGGGTTTTCATCCAGAACAACACATTGGCTAATATTTTAAATGCAAAAAAATGACCATGCGTATTTCATTTGAATCTGAAAATCTACCTAAACTTTGACCAGACGCTTTTATTTTTTTCATACCACGAACTAAACGTATTTCCGCCTCTCGTCACCCAAACACGATAAATAATGAAAATATACACGGCCATATAGAAGTAATGACCAGAAAACAAATTGACACGCATTTTGGCATAGAAACATTTACAAACACAATAATAATTATGTCAATTTTTTTTAACTGTCGAGCCAACGGTCGGATGACGTCAGAGGAAGTGTTGCTCCTCAATGCCCCGGGTTAGGCCTCCTTGTTGAGTTCCAAGAGAGAGACGGGAAGGGCATAAAGATCGGAGCCGGATACTCCAATGTTGTACAGTTATTTAAGCGTCGTGGTTTTGTATTTATGTGCCTCCTCCCCAACCCTGGGAGTCTCATTTCCTTCGTTTTGACAAACCTTTAGCCTAGCGTGGTAGCTAGCTAACGTTCCAGGTAACAATAATAAAAAAAAAAAAGTCCAAGGTAGCGGCGAGCGAGCGAGACAGAAAAGGAAAGCTTCCACATGGCGTTAATCCTGTTTACGAGGTCCAGGGCACCATTAATGACAACCTCCAGGTCGTTAAACAACGATCTACGAAAAGCCAAAGGTAAGGAGTCATTTATTTAACTTATTAATTTGTTAGGCCTCAGCGTACCTATGTGTGTGTTGGGAATGGGGGGGGGGTGCTTGACGAAGCCAACTCGCTCGTTAACATTAGCATTTGTGGTAGTTTTCCGTTCGGGAGTTGTCGGATGACTCATTGTAGCCGTAAGAATGCTCCCAAAAAAGAAAGAAAAAAGTGGCTACTCACTGAACGTTGCCAAGTGTTCAGAGAATTCGGGAATGAGATCATGTGAGGACAGCGGCTTTGGTCGCATTGGATGAGAGGATGCCGGTTGCCAAGGCAGCACCTTCGTCTTCTCCCTCCAAAATATTGATCATGTAAGATGTTTTTGTTATTACGGGGGGGGGGGGGTTACTATTACAAACTGTCCACGTGCGAAACTGGAACGTGGCCAAGGGTCTCCGCCATGCTAACTTCAATTGTGTCCAATAGATCATGTTTTAAAACGCTAGTACTTGTTTAGATTTAGTCAATGTTTCTTATAGTTTTGATATCAACGAGTTAAACTCGATTACAATCAGTCACATAAAACTTGCGATTGGGAGACGACCCCCTCCATCGCTGAGCCATGCCGCCCCACATGACCGCAGCGTGCATCAATTTTTCAACATTTTAAACATGATGATGATTATTATTAATTGCACTGCGCTGCATTGGGATGTCGATTTGAATTCACTTCATTGTTCAGTTCTAATACAACCAAATTTCTTTTGTGTGTGTGTGTGTGTGTGTGTGTGTGTGTGTGTGTGTGTGTGTGTGTGTGACCAACCACGAGAAGTCTCGATAAAGGCTGAAGTGCAACCGTGACAGTTGAAAGCTGGTCAAGGTGCGTTCTGTACGCACAATGTCAGCGATAGTACAGATTAGAGTGCAATAAAGTCTCTTTGCTAAGGATGCACGATTGAAGCAGAACTTTTCAAACTTTACATTTGAATTTGATGTTTGAATTTCTCCCTGTGTGTGCCTTTGCGTCCTTCATCGACTCCCTCTGTCGCTCTCTAACCCGCCGTGACCGTCACTGCGTTCTTCAAGCAAGTCGCGTAAAAGACACGCTGCTCTGGTGCCCGGTGAAAATCGAAACAAACCCTTGACCCCAGTTAGCATCGATGGGCCGCACGTTGCGTTGACACTGCTCGGAGTCAAACGGCTGAACCGCTGAATGTTTGTTCGTCAAAAGCAAGCCAACAACCTCGGCTAAGCTAGTTCCATTATTTCCAGTCCCTTCCCCCTGGGTCATTTCGAAGTGACGTGCTTCCAGTACACTCTGTGTGCGTGATTGTGCGTGCATGTGTTTATTATGGAAGGGGGGGTGGGGCGTGGCCTGGCCACCTGTTCTCTAGCGATTGGTCCAAAGCATCCGCAGGCCTCTCCCCGGACTTCCTGGCCCGTCAACAGAGTGGAGCTCATTAGCCCACTTCATTAGGTACACCCTCCGGTGCCATCCGGAGCGAGCGCTGCGTCAGAAATGTCGTCTTTGCAAAGACGGCGGTGGACATTGTCATGCGTCGGCTCTCGTTTTGGTGGCTGCGATGGATCAAATCAAATCAATATGTTTGCGTCCTCACAGGGAAGCTCAAAGATGCGTCCTGCTTCAACTGCACTGCGTTAAGACTCTCCAGTCAGAGGTGAGATTAATTGGGGGGGGGGGGCTGGAACGTAACTGCATCGAATAATTTTGGTTTTTGCCTTCATAGACTCGACGAGTTCCGATTAGTCAGCGCAGCCCGGCTCTCTCAGTTGAGCCCCTCGCCCCACTCGTCCATCGCCCGTCGCCAGAGCTCGGACTCACGCCACCTATTATGCGCCGTGGCCCCCCGGGCCACCCCTTCGCCGTACGTCGGCATTTCCACCGGGACCAAGCCGTGGCGGCGGGACGTGCACGTGCGCTGGCTCCACGCCTCGCCGGCGAGGCGGGATGACTCCAAGGTGGAGAAATCTCTGCGCTCGCTGAAGGACAAGATGAAGCTGGAGGAAGGGGGCCCGGTGTACAGTCCCGCCGCGGACGCCGAGCCCGCGCGACGGACGCTGCGGCAGCGGGTGCTGGACGAAATCAAACATTACTACCACGGCTTCAGGCTGCTCTTCGTGGACACGGGGATCGCCGGGCGGATGCTGTGGCGAGTGCTCAACGGGCACGGCCTGTCCCGCCGGGAGAGAAGACAGGTGAGGGCCGCCTTCTGCTTTGGTGAAGCAAGTTGGGGTGCCCAAATCAGGAATGTGAAGGCCGGCAAAAGTCAGATTGTTATTGTGTGACGCGGCGTCCGGAGCTCCCTCGCCCTTTTGCCATTCGCTACTTGCGGATTCTTGAGGAGGGGAAACTTGTTGGCTGAAAAATTCACCAGTTTGCTTTTTTTCCCCCGCATTGCTAATAACATGATTGGATTGATTCCGAATGTGGCGCCGTTCCCGCTAACCGGCGTACGTTGCCGAGATGACGGAGCGCTGGAACGCATCCGTCCAGACGTCCTGTTGCGCCCCCCCGCCCCCCGCCCCCTTCCCCCACTTTGCCTAATGGGATCACTTGTGGGGAATTGGCTACACGCCGCGCGTGTTTACTCACTCGGCGTTGAGCGCAGCTTAAGAGAAGGCGCATTAACCGTCCACCTTGACAACGCTCGCAATCCACCGCGCTCAATCTTCGACGATCAGAATAAAATGCCGATCACCGATTCAACGGTCATTTGGTCAAAGCAAATTGATGATTTATAACAGAACTTTTTTGGTCCCTTAACACTAACAAACTATGCACCAAAAGCTAAAGGCGGGGCATGATTCACTTCATTAGCCTGCTTTCTGCTGAACTCACCCCCAAACTCCAGCTCAAAAGTCTTCGAATCACTGGCCTATAAAATAAGTGCCGTGTGTGTGTGTGTCTCCGGACCTGTGCGGACGTCTTCCGCCTGCTGCCCTTCCTGGTGTTCATCATCGTCCCCTTCATGGAGTTTCTGTTGCCCGTCGCGCTCAAGCTGTTCCCCAACATGCTGCCGTCCACTTTCGAGACGCAGTCCAAAAAGGTAACCAACCCACGACCGCCAGCAAGCAACTCCTCCGCGCTCACGTGACATCCGACATGAACGTTCACCCCGTCAGGCACTCAGACTGCTTGACCAGCTTTAATCCCATCGGCGGGCTAATCGTATCGGGTGATAATTCTAGCACGGTTATGTTGCCGATCAAACGGCATACTAATTAATGTCACATCGGTCCGTCTTTCCTGTAGGCCGAAGTGAACACGATGATGCGTCTGTGTGTGTCCATCCGTCTGTCTGCGCTCGTCTGTATACATGGCGTCCGCCTTTCGACGCCGATGACCAGACTTGAATTTTTCTGTGAAGCAAGCTGCCATTCAGCTGTCATTGTTTCATTTGGCAGACGATGAACAATTCTTATGACGGGAAGCTTCAAGCGCCTTGTTGCGCAAGGCGCTTGAAGAAAAAACACAAAACAAAGAGAAAGTACTCCTCATGTATTTAAAACAACCGCCTTCGTTGTAGAGTTTTTTTTTTTCGTTTCGTTTTAGCTTAATGCTAACAACGATTTGCTCACCAATCGCATCAGCGCCGCAGTGGACAGTAACAACCATTTTAGCAGTGTACATTTGAACACAAACGGTTGAGCAACACACATAGTCAGACAATTTAAAAATGCTAACGGGTGAAACGTCTTTGTATTGCTGCGGCCTCCTGAGGAGTCTCCACGTCGTGCACGGAACCGACGTCAAATCTCACCATGTATAGAAACATAAGCAAATGAAGACCCCAAACCTGAGCCGTACCCGCTTTTGGGCCGGGGCTCCTGCCCCTCCCGCGGGTGTTCCTTAAAAATTCAGCTCCTTTGCTCATGACCGGTTTGCGTGACCGTTTCCACGCAGGAGGAGAGGTTGAAAAAGGAGCTGCGCGTCAAGCTGGAGATGGCCAAGTTCTTGCAGGACACCATCGAGGAGATCGCGTTGCGTAACAAGGCGGCCCAAGGTGACGTCGCCGAAGAGTTCTCCACATTTTTCCAGAAGGTTCGTGAACGGCGTTTAAAGCCAACCGATTGCAATCACGTTTTGCGACTTCGCGTCCAAGGGAAAGTCGGCGGCAATTTTTTCGATGCGTTTCCTAGATCCGCAACTCGGGCGAGCGTCCCAGCAACGAGCAGATCTTGCGCTTCTCCAAACTGTTCGAGGACGAGCTGACGCTGGACAACCTGACCCGGCCTCAGCTGGTGGCGCTGTGCCGCCTGCTGGAGCTGCAGTCCATCGGCACCAACAACTTCCTGCGCTTCCAGCTCATCATGAAGCTGAGGAACATTCGCGCCGACGATAAGGTTGATCGCTTTGATGAAACCCTTTTCATTCCGGGGCGGGCAGACTGCCCCCCCCCCCCCTCCTAGAAAACACCAAAAGCTGACCAAATATTGATTACGTGATATTTCTGAATCATTTCAAGGGTAGCATGAAATGATCTGTTAGATCAAGTCGAAACCGATTTTAGCAAGAGGCGGCTACCATCCGAAGATGTTTCAAGCAAGAAAATCATTTTCTGTCAAAATATGACTTTGGCTTTTATTTTTAAGGCGGGGTGACAATACGTAAACTAGTTCGTCTATATCATAAAATCATACATTCTTCAGTTTGGATATGAATGAGTGAATGAAATGAATGAATTATTCACGAACCCCAGCGCAATTCTGTTTATATCAAAGTTTGTTTGTTTTTTTTTTTTTTTTTTAAATGATCAATCTGAATGTTATTATTGATAATTGATGAGTTTTTTTTATCCATGGAGCAATTATTTATTTATTTATTAGAATAAATGTCGTACAACATTGTTTCATCCGAAAAAGAATTCACTTTCATTGTCATTCAAATTTATGAACCAAGGATTTCAATTCATGACCGATATTATTTGATCTGTTTTTATTGTATTTATTTTTAAAAACAATTTTTTTTGGGGGGGGGGGCAACCTTCCAACACTGAATTTCTATGTCCTCCTTCCCAGCTGATTGCCGAGGAGGGCGTGGAGAGCCTCAACGTGAACGAGGTGCAGGCCGCCTGTCGGGTTCGAGGGATGAGGTCGCTGGGCGTCACCGAGGAGCGGCTCCGAGAGCAGCTCGGCCAGGTGCGTCGCTTTTTATCGAGCGTTCCACTGACATAACTCCCCACGGGGTATTCCCCCCTGACCTCTCCGATTTGAGTTTGTCAACTCGGCTTTCCATTCGTAGTGGCTGGAACTTCATCTGAAGCAGCAGATCCCCACCTCCCTGCTGCTGCTGTCCCGAGCCATGTACCTGCCCGACACGCTGTCCCCCGCCGACCAGCTGAAGAGCACCCTGCAGACGCTCCCCGAGATGGTGGTACGTCCGCCTCGCCGTCTTCGCTATTGGGCTCCCGCATTGCCGCGTTCGGTCTTGACCCGCCGCGGCGCGCCCGCAGACGAAGGAGGCCCAGATGATGGTGGCCGAGATGGAGCTGTCCAAAGTGGACAACAAGACCAAAGTGGAGACCACGCTGCAGGAGGAAGCGGCCATTCGCCAGGACAACAAGGAAAGGGAGATGGAGAGGCTGGCCGACGCTGCCGAGAAGGCTGCCAGGGTAGAGACGCGCTTTCCGCTCCACTTGGGGTTGCTCCGCGGAGATGATGATAATGATTATTATTAGTATATATATTTTTTCTGTTAAAAATAAGGACCCGGAAAAAAATTGTGGTCATTTTATTTTCACAGAGAATCATGAGAAAGAACAAAACTCAAAACAGGTCAAAACGAAGATGAAATCGGGCTGGGCGATAAGGCGGAAAAATGTTTTTCCTATCCGTCACTTTTGACAATGATTGATTTATGTAACCTAAAAAAAAAAAAAACACCGTGTAGTGTAAATTGTAATGTGCCGTTTCTTCTGAGATGCTAGCCCGAAGCGAGATTCATGATGATTCGGTTTTTTTTTAGGCTGTCAAAAGATTCACCACAAATCGATCTTGCCGCTGTAACGTTAACTCGTTCAGTAGCAGCCAATTCTGGACCAAGTCTGAAAAGACGTTCAAAAACGTCATTGGGAGTGAATGAGTTCATTGCGAGCAGCACCGCGAATTAGCACACGGGCCGATCCGGTGGATGTTGGCGTCCTACTGAAGCTTGCGTGCCCACCGCAGGACAGCGAGGAGCTGGAGGCCGAACCGAGCGGCCAGCCGCCGCCTCAGGCTGACCTGCTCAGGGACACGGCACCCGTCGTCGAAGGAGTTAAGGTCATTTTGCAATTCATTTTCCTTCTTGACTGACTCAACTTGTCGCTTTGTCGCGCTGTTTTTGTGTCCTCTCTTCTTCTTCTTCTTCTTCACCCTTTGCCTTCATCTTCTTGCGCACCGGCACAGTTTGAACCGTGGCAGACGTTCCTGCGTTACCAGGTTAGCTTCAGTGTTACGTCGTGCCATCTGCTCCTCCCAAGTGATCCCGCGCTCACTCGCGCAGGTTCCGCAAGTTTCTGCCCACGTGGTCCTCCTCCTCGTCCCCCGTAGACTCCCGAAATTTGTGCCAGCCTTCCCCAAAAGAAATGCCGACACGAGTGAACCAACATTTCCTTCCCGAGTCTGTCCTCTGTGATTTCTCCCCCATGTTTTGGGTCACCTTGCGCGTAGGTGGACGCTTGTGCTTCATTCCGCTGCGGTTCATTTCCATCTTTCCTTTGTGCTTCAAGGGCGAGGAGATCACCAAAGAGGAGATCGACCTGATCAGCGACGCCTGCTCCAAACTGAAGGAGCAGAAGAAGCTGCTGACGCTGGAGAAGGAGGAGCTGGAGGAACTTAAGGACGACGTGCAGGAGTACAGCGAGGTGCGTTAGCTCGCGCTGAAAACGCTTTCATTCCACAAGACGTACTTGTGCGTCTGTTTAAAATTAGGCCCCGCCTACCAGGGACATACTTGTACGTCTATTTATTTTTATTTTTTGCGTCATAGAGAGGAGGAGGGTCTGACGCAATCTGTGAATGAGAACAAGCCGTTTGCATTGTAAATCATGTCAAAAAGCGACCACTAGGTGGCAGTGATGCCTCACGTGCTTGAAACGCATACCTTTACAAAAAGCTCTTTTTCTTCGTTTTTTTTTTTTTTTTTTTTTTTTTGCTCAGGAATCGCCATTTCCATGAAACTGAGCCATTTTGTAATGCCAATTGCTCAAGAATGGAAAAAGATAGAAACAATTTTTTTTTCTGCTGGAAGAAGACAGTCCAAACTCTATTTTGGTCGGCTCCATGTTTATATCGCATTAGAACCAAATATTCTGTGCGCCTTGCGGGATCAGTCAAACGCTGGGATTGAGGGGGTTGCTCCAGTGAAAATGGCTGCGATTGAATGAGTTAAATTGCGGTGGAGGGGGGGGGTCAGGAATAGAACAGATTTTCGGCGACGACCTGGCGGCCGCTCATTTGTTGTCTGGTGTCCGGCAGGACCTGGAGGAGATCAAGAAGGAGCTCTCCAAGACGGGCCAGGAGAAGGCGGTGTGCGAGTCCAAGGCCAGCCAGCGTCTGTCCAAGAGGGTCAACCGCATGATCGGACGGATGGACAAGATCATCGGGGAGCTGGAGAAGGACAAAGTCATCCTGGACGGACAGATGGACAGCGGAACCACGCCGCCCGTCGGGTAAGGGACGGACGGGCGAAGCGCCGCCGCGTCATCTTCATCGTCGTCGTCGTCCTCCTCGCTTGCTTGCGGTGGAGATCGGTTAGCCCCGAGAGCGAGTTTCCTCACGGCAAACATCTTTCAAATCAACCGTTTGATGCTCCCTAACGGACCGTCAACGTTGACAGCTTATTCATGACTCAAATTAGAGAAGCTCCGAGGTAAGATGAGCTGCACTCGTTTGATTTTTTTTGGGCGTTTCTGATTTCAATGCATTTCCGATCTGCACCTCCGGATCTCGACCAATGTGATCTTTTCAGCATGAATGAACATTACAGGAAGCTTGCTGGGAGACCGTTGATTGGTGTGATCTTGGGAGGGGAGGAGCCGGAATGCAGCATGCCACCCCTTTTTTCCCCCCCGCCCCAACCAAACGCACACAAACAACAGAACCAAACATCTCCACCGCCTTTTGCACCCCCCGCCCAAGCCGGTAACGCATTTTCCTCTATCCAGTCTCTTCTACGCCTTCAGGGAGAACCTGATCAGCATCGACGAGCTCATCGGCGTCATGCGGCAGATCCAGAACATTCCCGAACACAAGCTGCAGAGCATCGCCGAGGCGCTCGATGACAACAAGGATGGCAAGATTGACATCGACGACGTCATCAAGGTGCGCCGACGGGGACCGACGGGCCTTTCCAGTTTTACGTGTTATCAGGCGATTGGGAAATGATGCACTTTTTGCACTTTGCCACAAACGCTGTGGCTCTTTTTTCTTTCTTTGAGCGCATTCAAAAGTGGCTCAAGTTGTTTTTTTTTTTTTTGGAAAGCAACTTGCACGGCTAGTCTGAAAAGTTGCAAGATGAATGCCCCTGCTGTGGCTTTCTGGTCGTCTCCTCTCGACCCTTCTCCTCCGTTTCACATTGTCCCATTGGGGTGGGGGGGGGCGCACACCAGCAAAGGCCAGAAATGGCCTTTGCAGCTTTACAATACTGCCACCTACAGGACATAAAGGGAACAGGAACAACTATTGTCTGGAGTTCACGACCCTTCTCGGCTTTTCCATGACCAGTCTTTGTCCTACTATTGCCAATGTTTTTTGTTTTTTTTTATGCTTTTTGCTTCATGCCTGTTGTGAATTACCGTCACATTTTGTCATTAGTATAAAATATCCGTTCCCTTTGTACGGTCCTCCTTTCAAATTCCAGTTTGCTCGCATGATCGCAAAAGCTGGGTTGGAAAACAACCTCTAGAAGAGAAATGTTCTCGGTGTCGGCTTTTTTCAAAAGAGTGTTGACAGTCTCTCTGTAGCCAGCGCAGGGAGTTGCCACTTGAGAAATGGAAACATAATTGTTCTCTGTGGTCCCCTTGTTGATATCTAAATTGCGTTGCACATCTGCCCCACTGGAGCGCCATGAAATAAGAATATTGCCCCCTTGTCCAAAAACTGCAACGTGATGCAATACGGTCGAAGAGATTTTTAAAGGTAATTTGCCTGCGGCGCGGTGCGCCGCCTCGACAAGTAGGGGCGACTGCAGCGCTTTCACTGATACTCGTTTTGCCTTGGGGGGGGGTGTTGAACCCTTCGCTCGTCTCACTTTGAGCACCGATTTGCGGCGCAGGTGGTGGAGCTGATCGACAAGGAGGACATCGACATCACCACCACGCAGGTGGCCGACATCATGACGATGCTGCAGAAGGAGGAGAAGCTGATGGAGAAGGAGAAGGCCAAGGACAAGGCGGAGAAGGAGCAGGCGGCCAACCTCAATGGCTAGAAGAGAAGACGGGGGCGGGGGGCGCAAAACTTTCGCAGGTGAACTCACTTTGGCAACCTTGTGGGAAAAAAAATGTAGTGCCGCCACAAACTCGAGCAGCTCCTGTTGCCTTTAGAAGGCGCCGCGGCAGACAAAAGGACACTCGCGTGTTGTTTTATTATTTATTGGACCACGGGACACGTTGGGAGGCATTCGTCGGCAAAAAGCTCAACAAAGCTTTTAAAAAAAAAAAAAAAAGAGGACATGATCAGAAGACGAAGCGTGAACGACGGGCGATGCTTTCTGCACTTTAGTAAAACGTCATTCCTCCTCCTCCTCCTCCTCATTCATCTCAATCGGACACTCGTTTCCACCAAAGAAGACGGACTTCAAATCATTTCATTTTTTGCACCGCTTCATTTCCCCTTTTCATCGTCAGCGCACCGATTGACAGCAGATGGCCCAACGCGTCGGCTTTCGGGAGCTCTGTCATCGTCGCCATGGTTACTGCTGCCCCCCCCCCCTGTCTGAGCAAGAGCTTTTTAAGTTCTTTTAAAGAACTTTGAGAAGCAGCTGTGTTCAGGCGTGAAAGGGGAACGCAAATCAAGACCGAGGCCGTTTTCCCACCTGCAACTTTGCTCCATGGCGGCTTTTGCGATTGTTAGCAAACAAGCGGCGCCGGCCCACACCAGTGACCCAAACCGCGACCCGGCAACAACACTTCAGTCTGGAGGAAGGCGTCGATGTCGAACCACGGGTGCATTTATTCGATGCTATTTATCTTTGATGTCATACGACATGCGAGGCAAGTTGCGCACAAATGAATGACGACGTGCCGCCGTTAGAGAGATTCTAAAAGTCTGTCAGGTTGCCGCGACCATCGGCACTTGACGTAGCAACGAGTGGGCCGCGATGTCGTTCGGTGGCCAAATGTTACTGTTGAGTCATTCAAACTGGCGTGCGGAAAAAACGGGCGCCACGACGTCGCTGGCTTTGGGCGGAACCCTTCCAAAAGCATCGCTGATCCAAACTTTCGTCAAACATTAACGTGGCGACGTCGAAGACAGCGAGCCGTTTTCAACACGTCAGATTGCTCAGTCATTTGAAAAAATTAAAAAAAGTAATAGTAATAAATAACACCCACACGTGATGACCGAGGTTCTTGGGGCGGGGACGTTGGTAAATGTCAAACAGTCATTTGAGAATTGTCGTTCATTTTTCTTTATTTCACAACACTTAGTGAACGTGTTTTTTTTTTTTTTTTTTTTTTTTAATTTTGCATTTTAAAAGAACTTTATTTAAAAAAAAAAAAAAAAAAAACTGATACTAAAACAAATTTTTAAAAAAACTAATCGAATGGAGCGCTTTTGAAAAACAAAAACAAAAGCTCTGAATAAGATTTGAAATGAGCTGAATTTACAAACCAAACGTCAAAACGAAATAAAAATGAATTATGTTGAAAAATCCCAAACGATTCCAACTCTGGTTGTGGACTGACCTATAGGATAGAGTTGTAAAAAAAAAAAAAGAAATACATCTCACAGTTAGCAAACATCGGCGGTTTCGGCTCGACGTCGTAGGAGGCAATGCAAAATGAAAACTCGAATGTGCACGTCTGCGTACGTCCCAAGTTTTTCTCAACAAATCTCAGAATCGACCTTCCAGGCGAATATTCCGTTGGGGATGGACGATTCGGCGTCCGTGTCCTCGGGCCTTTCCGCAGATGTCGGCTCAGGGTTCCACTTGTCACGTTTGCACGCCGAGCCGGTCGAGACGTTTCGACTCGCGTCAACCCATTTTGGATTGCGGCTGCGACTCTTTCCTTCCCGGCACGTGTTTGCATCACATGACTCAAAGCCGTCCTCCTCTTGTTGTTGCGCCGTAGGAACAAAACAATCATATTCAGCATTTATTTTTATGATTCTGATCTATTTTTTATATGATTGTTGAGCGCAAAGGCAGCAAAAGAGCTTGTCGTGACTTGTTTTTATGATGATTTTGTGTTTTTTTTGCTTTGGACTGCCGCCGTGGTGGCGAAGAAAAAAAAAAAAGGGCAGCTGCGCATCGATGAAAATGAAAATGGTTGCTGCAGGGGCAACGTTCGAGATATGTGATGGAGGCTTGTTTTTTTTTTTTTTTTTAAACGCTCATTTAATCCACTTGGCTTGTTCGCAGAGGGTGACGGAAATCCTCGTACTGTAAACAAATCCTAAATAATAGTTTCCGATTTGACAGCTTGTTGATTGTCGCCACAGTGATTGCACCGCCACTGAACCAGCTTCCACCAAAAGACGATGACGACCCTTGACTGTTGTCTCACTGCACGTTGCATGTATAGATTCTTTTTCAAATCCTTTTTATTTACATTTGAAACTTCATGCAAATTTTGGGATTTTTTTTTTTTTGTTTGTGGGTGTGTTTTTGAGGATGCTAGACTTGAAATGTATGGAGACAAAAAAAAAGGTGTCATTCTTTTTCCCAATCAGATGAATAGAATTGTCAAAAAAGAAAACGCACAATGTACAAAAAAAAATAAATGAAATGAATAACAAAACGCTCCCCGAGATTCTTTCCTCTCGCTTGTATAGGAGAGAGAATCCTTTTTTTTTTTGGTTGTTTGGGGTTTTTTTTTTGTTTTTTTGAGGGGGCGAGGGGACACAAAGATCTTGGCCACTAGAGGGCAGCAAAGACACGCTAAAAACCCGACTGCTTGACCGCGCATTCTAAAAGAAGGCAAAACTCGTTTGAATTCATTTTCACCCGATTCATTTTCGTCCTCAATTGATACCCTAATTTGACATCCTAAATCCTCTTTTGAAACCCCAATTCCAAACCCAAACGCGTGTGTGAGACTCTAATATCCTCCCTTACCACCCTCACCTGAAACCGGAAAATCTGTCTTGGAGCCCTGGCCCACAGTCCCCAATGGGTTTGAAATCCAAATCCTTCCTTGAAACCTTCATTTGAAACTGTAATGCAATCTCGAAAGACGAATTAACACCCAAACCCTGTTTTTTAGATCCCGAATTGTGGCTCTTGTTTGAAACCGTGGCTCGGAGCCCTATTTCCTATTTGATCCCATTTCGAAACCGTCATTTGAAAGTGAAGTCCTGCTTTGAAACCTCCGTTTGAACCTCTCTTGGCTTTGAAAACCAACTTGAAAGTTAGGGCCTGTCTTGAAATTCTCCTTTTGAAACTCGAACCCTTTCTTTCACCTCCAATTGGACAGCGGAGCTCGATCTCGAAGCCCGAATTGGAATGGTTATCCTTCATGACTTGGTTGCCAGCCGCACCCAGCCTTGAAACTCTGACTTGGAAGCCCACCTGTGACTTTGGAGTGACCCCCGACGAGCCGGAGAGCCCGATCCGGTTCTTACTGCGCCCCGTGACATCGAGCGTGACAATTGTAGGATTGACCCACTTCGTCCTTTCAACTCATGAATTTCAATGCGCGCCCATTTCACGCCTAAACAACGCCCCCCCCCCCCTTGTCTCCTGTCAGAGTTTCAGAACAGTGCAAAAACTCCAATTAGCTCATGGATGAGTGGAGAGGACATCCCATAACGTGCATGCACTTGTTGCAATCCAAAAATTCACCGCCATCGATCGTGCAAGAACACAATTTGACGCCCAGCCCAGCGTGTTTGAAAGAGTTGGAATTTCCGACGCCAGTTGGATTGTTTTTGGCCAAAACGTTTTTCATCCCAGATTCGGGGCTGCCCTAAAAGCGCTTGATGCGCACTCCCGGTCTCCGTGGGGACCGCCCTCCTCCTTCCTCCTTCTTCCTCCCTTTCTGCAGCAGATGAAAGTGAGCCCAAGTAAGGGAGAAGAAAGACGACGTCGTCGTCTCCGCTATTGACCAGCAGGCTGTTTTTTTGTTTTTGTTTTTTTTAAATGCGTCCGCCCTCACCTGCGTGTCCCCGTCCGTCCCTTTCTCCTTCCCTCCCTTTCCCTTTCACAAACTCTCTCGGAATGGAGGGAGACGTCCATGCCCGAGATGTCATCTCCATGTTGCAAAGCGAAGATCCAAGAGGGAATATTCACGTGAGGGCAGTCGTGCCTGAGAATGCACAAAAAGAAGCTCGGGCAAAAAAAAAACAAAAAAAAAACCCATCAAGGTTATCCAAGGAACTCTCCCTAAAAACACCAAAGCAAAACATCCTTGTTTTCACTCTTTACTTTGGCTGAGGGTGTCACTTTTTCGTCAGTGGTCGTTTCTCGTTCTTGTTGATCAGTGAGCAGGCTGTGCAAATCTAATCACATGATCCGAGCATGAATTCATTCATGAAATATCCGAGCCGCTTCTCCTCACGAGGGTCCCGGGCCGCTGTGGAGCCCATCACAGCTGTTTTTGGGCCCTCCACTTGGACGCTGCGAGGCAGACGCGTGCTAAACCGTCATCGCCGCGTCGCCCCAAATAATGACTTCAAAATTTAATGAGCTCATTAAATTTCCCCCAAATGGACATTTTTCTGGACAATAAAAAAAAAAATTATTACATGTTGCATTATCTGCAATGAATTGATTTCATGTTGTTGTTGCTTTTATTGTTGTGTAGTTATTTTGCCGTGATTATTATAATCCATTTTATTTCGGATTATTTAAAAGATTTTACCCCCCCTCATTTTCTTGTTCTTTGTATTTGTACATACTTTGTCATTCCCATTTAAAATATTTTTGATGTATCTTTTTTAAAATTTTAATCGAATACAATTATTGAATTCAAAGTTTTACTTATTTATTTAAACGCCACTTTTGTGGTTGATATTTACATTGTTTTGATTCTTCATTTTCAAGGCTTCAAATATCTGAAAGGAACAAAATTAGATGAGCTCACGTAACCTGATTTGATGGCCGTCGTGCAAATGAAAGTGCACTTGGTCCCGTGTTGTTCAAATGTTGCGGATGCGTGCGGAGAATCAAAAGCGGACGCGCCAACCTGGGCGAAAATCATCATCGGTGGTCAGTTGCTAGGCAACAGCAGCCCTCACCTCCCACTTCTCTCGTCGCCCGCCCGGACGCGACGAGCTGTGCGCAGCCCGCCTCGACGGATCCGAAAGCGGCGCCCGACCCGGCCCAACCCAGCCGACATCTCGACGCCGCCTCATCACCTTCCTTCACGGTCGGCCAGCGCAAAAATCGGCTGTGGAATGATTCAAAAAGCAAGTCGGCGGGGGATGAGGAACAAGAAGCCAAGCACAACATTTCTTTTTTTTTTGTTTGTTTTGATGCTTGCAAACATGTTTGCCTTGTTCCCCATCAAAGCTTCAGAACATCAGCAGGATGTTTTTTATTCAAACTTTTCAAAAATGGTTTATTCTCCCCCCATATACCCTTGAAAGGCATTTCTTTTACTTTTGTTTCGGTATTTTACAATTTTTTTTTTTTTTTTTACATTTACAATGACTGTTTGTTTGTTGACATTGTTTTCCCTTGAAAGCTTCAGCCATAGATGTTTTAAAAGTAAATTTTGAAATCCCTTGTGGATGATTTCTATTTTAGCAGCAATCGCTCTTGTCTGTTTTGCCAAATGTTAGCATCTAAAATGCTAGCATGCTAATACCATTGAGTGAATCTTGACATTACGCATGATAAAAATCCCGTTAACACCTCCCCTGAACTGGATCTTGTGCGTTCAATTGGATACAATCACACATTCACACAGTGCAAAATACTTCGTACGTATTTGGGTTTCAAAGTCACCATCTCGCATGCTAACCATGGCAGTACTGATGACATGCTACCATGCTAATCCCCTTTTGAGCTAATTGCTATCTTGGTTGAAATTACACACTTTCCCAGATTAAAAATAGGCCTATAATTGGAAGCCACAAAAACTGGCCATATATAAAAGATATTGTATGAAAATATATGTGACTTTGACGGCTTGTTGTTGAAGTTCCTTCTATGTAAGGCACAGATGAAAATAGTGATTGAAGGTCACACACATAAACATACAGTGGCTATATGTGCATAAACACACACACACACACACACACACGTGGTCATTTTTAGTCTCATTTTCATGTGAAGAACTTTCATTTTCCAACGAGCTAGCAAAAACAACCGCAGCTTCGAAAACAAGGAAATCTATTCC